GAGACTCTGCCAAAAAAAAAAAAAAAAGACTTCAGCAATGATTTTCACTGGCTTCCTAGGGAAAGAGATAGCACCACTTTTTTACATGCTACAATTGGCACTTGCTTACTAAATCACTTCTAGCCTCTGTGATGTGCCCCACTCTTATGCTTCCAAGTAGACCCATACACTGAATCTCTGAAATCTTTCCACCTCTTTTTACCTTAAGATTTGGACTTAGATGTCACTTGGGCCAGAAAGTCCTCGCAAATCTCCTTCCACCCCAAGTCCAGATCAGGTGCTTTCACAGAACCCACACTTACCTGTCTCAGCACTTGTTCCAATTGTGTTACAATTGCCCAATATAATTAAGGGATTTGAAGGCATTGGCAATGTCTCCTTGGATCACTGTTGAATCATTAAGAGCCAGAAGGCTGATACACAGTAGGGATGCAAATAAATAATTTAGAATGGGCAAATTCCTTCCCAACCAAAAAATATACTGGAAGGTCATTTTCAGCCAAAGATTGAGTGGTGCTGTTTCTCTCTTTTTTTTTGCAGTTTTTGGCCGGGGCTGGGTTTGAACCTGCTACCTCCAGCATATGGGGCCAGAGCCCTGCTCCTTTGAGCCATAGGCGCCACCTCCAGTTGTGCTGTTTCTCTAGGACCCTTGCATCCTGGGCAAAGGCTGCTACAAAGAAGTAGTCTTTCATACCACAGCTCACCCTTTGTACTACTCCAGCAAAAAATGTCAATGCTTAAAAATAATGAGGTTTTTAGGACATTTTTCAAATTTGCATTTTTGTCACTTTTTTAGGATAAAGAATATCAGCAGAAATAAAACTTGAAAATCAATAGTGAAATTAATTGGGTAGGAACTATAATCTCTAGAACAATTCCTTTCTAGATGGTGCTTCTTTATTGAGGAAGAGGTGTTAAAAGCCAAGCTCTGGTTCTATTAAAAATTTGTTGCTTAGTAGCACGTAAGCATTCCAATTTGTACAAATAATCAACACATTGAATCCTATCATGGCATAAATGTATTTATGATCTATGTACGAATAACCTAATAAAAAAATTGTTAATATTTTAGAACATTATTAAACTCAATTAAAGATATTTGAAATTCACTAAAAATAATTATGAGTGGGGTTAAGCAGTGTTACTGGAAACATAATTTCCTCTGGGTCGATCTCAGAAACATCACTGCATTTATTTCATTTCACGGCTCCTTAAATTTTTAAAAATATATTTCAAATAAAAGTTGAAATGTAGTAAGGACTCATTTTTTTAATTGACCTAGCCTCCATTTGTGGGGGATTATTTAATATTTAAAAAAAGAAATGTTTGTAAATTTTTTTGACCATGTGAAATATGACCAATTTTTTTGACTTTTTCAGAACCCAGAAAAAGTTCTATATTTTGAAATAATTTCTTCCATGCCTGAATTTATTCAACTGTTTCTAAGGGCTTCTTTATGTCATATAATGTATGAAATACCCAAGAGCAGGGAAATGCATAAATTTGCCCATGCCCTGGAGAAATGTACCATTTATTAGAGAGATGAACAAGTATATTCATCACAATGAAATGCTGAAGGGTGATGTCAAAGAATGCCCAGGGCAGGGGGGCGGGAGGTGGGGCTATGGAAGAGCATGGGAGAGATGCAACCTTGAAACAGAGTGCCCTTCTGTACACATTAGCGTTTCTCTCTCACTGACATTAAGTGCAAAGAGGTAGACGGATGTAAAATGTAGATGCAAAGTTTCACCTGACGATTGCAAAGAAAAATATTAAAATAGAGGAAATTCAACAAATAGGCTTGGTGTGGTGGCTCACACGGATAATCCCAGCACTTTAGGAGGCCGAGGTGGAAGGATTGTTTGAGGGCAGAAGCTCAAGATCAGCTTGAGCAAAATAGAGTGACCCTGTCTCCACACAAAATAGAAAAATCAGCCAAGTGTGGTCATGCATGCTTGTAGTCCCAGCTTCTTGGGAGGTGGAGGCAGGAGAATAGCTTTGGGCCAGGAGCTTGAGGCTGTGGTCAGCTTTGATAAGATCATTGCATCCTAAGCCAGGCGACAGAGAAAAACAAAACAAAATTCAACTTTTCTTCTGAAAATTAGCAGTAATAGTTGTGTTGGGTTTATATGTAAAAGAAGTTAAATATTTTGGAGACCATAATGGGGATAACACCGTCAAAAACTCACTGTCGAGGGTGGCACCTGTGGCTCAAAGGAGTAGGGCACCTGCCCCATATGCTGGAGGTGGAGTGTTCAAACCCAGCCCCAGCCAAAAACTGCAAAAAAAAAAAAAAAAAAAAACTCACTGTCAAAAATACTGACAGGGGTGAAGCAGTGAGCTGATGTCAGAGAACCTGGAGTATTAGACAGGGGAGAAAAGTTGGGGTGTAGGTGATGATGCTGATGATTATGGTAATGATGACAATGAAGGCAATAATTACTATTATCTCCTCCCAAAGCTCAGAACATATATCATTAAATTGAACTTTCATTTCTTAGGGCCAATTCAAATATTTACTTATAATCTTAAAAGCCTTCTTTGGAAATATCAGGTTTTAGTTAACCTCTTGGCTGTGTAAGACTCTCCCCATCTCTAAGGAAGTCAGAGTTTCTGCAGTGTTTAACCCAATATTTTATGAACCAGTGTGAAAATCACATCTTCCCACTGAACCACTTCTCTGCCCCTCTTGGTAAAACATGGAGTGTCAGCATCCTACATGCACAGAAGGGAAGCTCAGCTAGCAGCAGGTAAAGTGGAACAGAAGAGCCTGGGCTGCACTCCTAAAGGGCAGAGAGAGCTTAAAGAAAGTAAGAAAATAACCCTGAAGCAAAGAAAGTGCAGTAACGTGAGGGTGGGTGGGTAGCCCTCACAAGGGCCAAGGCAGGGAAGTAGTTAGGAGTAGGAATCGTTCAAAAAGAGATGAAGGCTATGCATGCCCACAGATGGGACATGTTGGAGTAAATGATATTTGGAGAGTTGAGGAAGGAGGCAAGGAATTGCTATGGATTTAGGAAGAGTAACAGCAAGAGAAGTAGCACCACCCTCAAAAAGCAGGACTCACAGACAGTTCTTCACTGGGGTGGAAGCAGCATGGTCAAAGGCAAGGTGGAGCCCCAGGGTCAGCGGACACGGAGGACTAGGGAACAGAGACGCCATTCCAACACACAAAAAGTGGAGCCTATTGATCAGATTCAGTACCAGGTCAGGAATGAGTTGATAGTAGATTCATGACAGAGTAGGTATTTGGATGTGAAATCTTTAAAGAACTTGAAAAAGGGGACCGGAGAATCCCCTTCTGTGCCAGAAGACAGGCTGCTCATGAGGGCTTTGCTGATGTAGCTGGGAGGTTAAGAGAAATAAGGGAGGGAGAATTGGTTCATTCTATTTTGGGTAATTTTCAAGTTCAGAACTTCTAGAAAGTCCAGGCTAAGGAAGCTGAAATCTCTCAAACTCCATAAGAGACTGAAGATAACTGAAAATTTATTTTAAAATGTATAAACTTTTGCTCTTGATGAAAACCAATCATTACCTCCCTCCCCAAAATAACCACTGCAACAATTTTAATGCATTCATCATGTAATTGAAATATCATGATCACTTTACATTGTCATTAATCAAAGGGTAATATGTCCATAGTCCTTTACAGTTTTAACACCTTACCACATTCATTATTTTATTTTATAGCCTGATAACTCTATAAAGTAAATGAAATAATAAGACCAGGAGTACTTTCAGATGTAGACATAAAAGTACAGATTCATGACTTGATTAAGGTCTTAAAACCACTTATAGAGTCAAAGCCAGATGACGTAACTGTGAGTCCAGACCAATCCCAGCATCTCAGTGAATACCCAGGTGAGTGAGAAAAGAATCTGCTAAATTATACCTTTTGATAAGCTTGCCCTTGGACGATCTTGGATATTAATCTTATCATGCCTATTGTCTTACCTCCCATGCACTGTATTTAGGAGTGAGGCCAGCCATGGGTCAAATTCAGAGTTTGTTTTCTGAACAGACCTCTCTTTAATCTGAAAGAAAGCTTGTGTGTGAGAAGAGCAAAAACTTCGGCCTCCACCTGATGGTGATTCAGGCCGACTTGGATTCCAGTCCTGGTTATGAGGCTCTCCAATGGCTACCAAAGTACTTAACACATATTAGCCTCTGTACCTGTTTTTTAATTTGAAAAATTGTGGGCATAATACCTACTTTAGAGTATTTTAAGCTTTTTAAACATGATTTTAAAAATGTGAAACACTCAATATAGTGTTTGTCACATGGTAGACCTTCAGGGAGTGTTGGCTTGTTGGCTTCCTCCTTTTTATACTATGCCACATCATTTGATTTAGGAACGCAATATTGGCTCCATTTCACAGATAAGCTATAAGAGAGGTTAAGATGATTTCTTAGGCCCTTCATAAGGTCAAGGTGAGATTTGACCATAGGTCCCTGAATGCTGATTGCAGACACTTTTCGTGTCCTATGCTGACAACTCTTATCCTGACTCTGGTTTCAGCCACAGCTACAGTGCATAGTTGCTGCAGGCAGACAACATCCCACTTCAGGCATCCACTATCCCTTTTATTTGTCTCTCCTCTTCTCTGCCTCAAGTTTCTTGCTAAAGCCCTAAGGAGTTTCTGGTTCTGAAAGTACAGAAGAGTTAAAATCCCTAAGGGCACCCTTCAACAAATGTGAGCTGGCAGCTCTTGGCTAAAGGCCCCAGCCTGTCTGCCCTTGGACAGACAATTCTACAGTACATCATTTGAGTCGCAGTTGCCCATCTCAATAACATACCCTATTTTGGCTTTTTCTCCTGGATCACCTTCTCTTCTGCACCCTGAATCCTGCTTCCTGTGGTTACTTCCCAAATAAACCACCTGTATCTAAGTCCTTGTCTCAGACTCCATCCTGGGAACTAAAGGTTTGGGTGGGAGAAGGAAAGGTTGCTTTGTTTTATTTCCATTTGTGCTTATACTTCACTTTTCTGTATTTCTCCATAGGTCACCAAGATGCTGGCAGTGGTGGTAATTCTCTTTGCCCTTTTATGGATGCCCTACAGGACTCTTGTAGTTGTCAACTCATTTCTTTCCAGCCCTTTCCAAGAAAATTGGTTCTTGCTCTTCTGCAGAATTTGCATTTATCTCAACAGTGCCATCAACCCCGTGATTTACAATCTCATGTCCCAGAAATTCCGTGCAGCCTTCAGAAAGCTCTGCAACTGTAAGCAGAAGCCCATAGAGAAACCAGCTAACTACAGCGTGGCCCTGAATTACAGCGTCATCAAGGAGTCAGACCATTTCAGCACTGAGCTTGACGACATCACTGTCACGGACACTTACTTGTCTGCTACGAAGGTGTCATTTGATGACACCTGCTTGGCTTCTGAAGTCACCTTTAGTCAAAGCTGACTCATGAATTAGAAGAAAATGGACCACAAAGTAAGTAAGAATCTGTGCAGTTCCCAACGAAAGAGAGGAAATAGCCAATACTTGTGGGTGAAGACAGAACAGATACAATCTTTGCCAAAGCTCTACAAATCCTGAGCCCTGTGAGAATAATTCAAACTTTCCTCCTTTAAACCTAGTGCCACCCAAAATAGACCTGTGACATAGCTCAATAATAAAAACTGGAAATGCAGCCCTTTTCATTTAATTTGGGAAATTCACTATGTTTCCTGGAGTTCTGATGCCTTGATAAAGTCTAGGCATCACTTTGACTTATTCATAATAACCTTATCAAATGTGATTTCCCAACACCCCCAAAATTATGTATACATTTGGTAACTTGGCAACACACATATTTTTAAATGTTTGCATTCAACATTTCCTTTTAACAAAGGACAGTGCTATTTCCTAAATATCTGAGACTACAAAGGAAAATACTTTAATAAACATTTTATTTATAGAGTAAAAATAAAATTTCAGGCAAACATGTTCAGTATATCAAAAAGATTGTCATAATGGTTATAAAATTCTGAGGTGATTTTTGTATTTTACAAAATAGTCATCACTCAAGTGCAATGTAAAATAAACTTGAAAACATCCAAAATTATAAATTGAGGAGACATACAGATTTGATTTTGAGATAAATCCAGCTCTTATCAGCTCTTTGAGCCATGGAAATGATGGATGGGACACAGAAATACCCAGGTTAAATAACTATGAAGATACAAACTAACATATGATTAATACTGAAAAGTATATCCAAGACCAGACCAGGCTTTTTCTCTGAAACTTTCAAGGAGAGTGTCCTTTGCGAACATTCTTGCGTATAAACTACTGAGACATGTCAACTGAATCTTTCTAGTTGAATCTACTTTAAAAGTCTGAAACATTCTCAAAAGCTTAGTTGTTATTCTATGTCAGCCAGAATCTATCACACTTCCAGAGGAAGACCTCCCACTGAGAATTGTAGTCTATGGATTTTAACTTGTCTGCAACTGTCTTTCCTTCCTGCCTGCTTTTTTTTCAAATGCTGGTGATATTGTGTTCACAGATTCTAAACCAAAGCAATGAAAAACTCTGTCGGCTTTACTTTCAGTGGAATTAAAGCTGATTTCATCGTATTATCAAGAGCTCATCCTTACAGTTATCATTGAGACCTGCTATTATTCCAGTGATTTTTTGAGAGGTATCAATGTGAATCTGGCTGGGACATTTGTCAGGTTCTCCTTGAATTTCTTTCAAGTAATTCACCTGCTGAGATTGGCCAATCAGCATTTCCAAGGGTATAAATTGCCCTTGGTGATGGTTCTGTGATTGCTGATTTTTAATAACTGTGTCAAAAATTGCCTCATAGACTGGCATTTGCCCTCTCCCTTCTATATCCCTGTTCTGTGGATATTTTACAGAACCTAATTGCTAATGAGAATTACTCCTCCCCATCTGTTTAATGAAGAAGTCATCATTCAGTTTTGGAAACTTTTATTTTATTTTATTTTTAAATTTCAGATTAATATAAGAGTACAGATGATGAGGTTATATTGTTGGCATTTCTAAGGTAAAGTTGTGGTTGTAGTTGAGCCTTTCAAGTACTGCTTCATAGAGATTCTGCTATTCAGAACCTCATTTTAGAATATGCTTTTTTGAAAATTGGCTTCATCTACTCAAGGAAGATTTTATTATTTTGTAACTATATCAGTAAATAAATATAAGCAAATATTTACGTGAAATATCCTAGAAGTTTGTCTGAATGACGCGAAGCTACTGATGTTACCTACCTTTTCATCCTGGATTAAATTTTAATCTTAGGGTCGTATGGATGAAGCACCAAACCCACATCACACAAGCACATGTGTAGGTGCGTGAAAACACGTATGAGTCCCACATGTGCATAAATTGCTTAACAATGAGGACCGGAGTGTATTAAATGTTTTTTCATTAAGGAAAGGAACTAATAATTACATTGAGCTCCTATGATGTCTCAGGCATGCTGGTACATACTTAGTCAATATTAACTTCATCACAATCTCATTACAGCTGTGATTTCTCTGGTGATAAGACAAGGAATCAGACATCAAGGCCATTTTCCTAAATAGTGTGGCTACTGGACAAAGAAAATGGAGAAAATCTGTATTTCCTTTTTCCTCCTTTTTTAAGCTGGCATAGTGATTAAACTGGTGTGCCCTGGTAGCCTAACTAATTAAAAAAAATGCCTTGCAGAATGGTAATATCAGCTGTTAAAAAAAAATTATAATTAGGAAGTAATATACTCTTCTCATTTTGTAAATTCAATATATGAACTCAGTTCTTCCATTTTAATTTTTTAAAAGTTATTTATGAATAATCTGTTAGTTTTGGCCCACACAAGAAATTCAAAACACAGTTCATAGTGTTTCAACTCGAAAGCAAATGCCATTATAAAATTAAATGTTCCTGTGTAATGTCCAATGGATATTTGAGTTTACCCAGAAGAGACATAACTTTTTAAAGTATTCTTTATCACACTATATGAAAATCATAAAATAGTTGCATAAATTATCAAAACTTAATATACCATCAAGTGAAAAATAAAAAGCCAGATTAAAATTTGCTGGTGGGATGAAGTCATGTTATTAAGAGCCTCCCTTAATAAAATTCCCTGAGTTATTTTATTACTTCCAATTTCATTAATTGCTGAGTGTCCGTGGTTAGATCTTGCACTTGAGGTAATTGGGTAAAGGACAGAGATCATGAATAAAATGAGCAAACATAAATTCCCTCTCAGGACTTCATCGGTATTGTGAGTATAACCCTGGAGCTTAACCTCCAATGCAAATATAAATGCTGAAGAAGGAAAAGTCCAGACTCTAAACAGATTAATCTCACAGAATAATACACTTTGGTAATATACCAAAAGAAATGGCTTGTTTGTGCTAAACAACTGGCAATGTCAAAGGAAAAACTATAGCCATAGAACTTAGCTTACCGTGATTAAGTGTTAAATGGATACTTGGATTGTTTTATTTGTAGAAGACTAGGTTGGATATTAAGCACCATGTGCTTAAACCTGGGTCTACATGGTTTTGGTCTGCTCCTAAAGAAGAAATGAGTGTTATCAGTTTAAACTATGTTAAATCTAGAAATATGATGGAAGAAAGAAAATATTAACGTTTGACTTTTTGGAGGTAAAGGTTTTAAGCAGTTAACTCGTGAATCTATGAATTCTATAAATATTAAATCTAACATTATTTTTGCCTCTCAGGTGCAACTTGCACAGGGTTGGAATATTTGTGTAGGAAGTAGGGAAACTAGATGTGAATGAGAGAGCCCCCAGAAGCAGCTAGTCAGTTCCAGGTGTAAAGAAAAACATTTTCCAATGTGGAGAGGCACACATTCCCCTAGGAGGGAGTGACCCTGACAATCTCTAGTAACTTATTTTCCATTTATCCTTAGCTGTCTACAGCCAATAGCTGTCAAAACCAAAATTTGATGAACTGAGCAAATACTGAGTTTTTAGAACACACATGAAGAAATCTTCAGAGTTCTGTAGTGATAAGTATTATATTTTTGTCTTTCTCTTTCTCCCGGCTGAACTCACATTTCTCCACAAGCATTGATGTCCTCAGAACAGGAAGACTGATCTAACTTCACTCAAGACTAACCGTGGACCTGGCATAGCTTATGTGAAAGTGAAAATGTTCTTTCACACGTATTTATGTCTAAGAAAATACAGTTCTGCAAGCTTTCATTTTCATAGAATCGCTTTTAAATTATGGAAAACCTAACACTTCTACTTAGGTCCTCCTTTAAAGGCAGGAATCACGTGTAGAGTTGAACTGCTTAATACGGCGTTTTCCTTCCAGAACAAAGAGGATGTTCTGTATTTCTGAGATTTCAGTCAGAAAGCAATAGAAGAATACTCAGAATGTGAAAAACTGCAGCAGAAATTTGTTTCAGAAAATAAAAGGCTCTTCCCATTCTTACAAAGCTCACAATCCAATGAGGAATACAAGATGTAACCATTTGGCAATATTTAAAATATGAATTTGAGATAGCAGATGGATGAAAGAAGCGATGGTTAATCGTCAATTGGGAAATGTCTTGGGATAACTTTTAATACAAAAATCACTTACATATTCTGATTCTATTTTATGGACTGTAATTATAAATATCAATTAATTTAATTTTTATCTACACTGGGAAAAAGAAAGGTCAGATGAGCCCCTGTCATATTTGTATTGTAGGATCAGTCTATGAGTACAATCTCAGTGGCAGTCTTCATAGGGAAGAGCTTCACTTGCGGAATAGTTCTGTTACTGAGAGGGTTAGCACTGAATGCTGACTGTGCTGACATAAGCTAGATCTATACAGTTCTGATTTTAACATTCAAATACAGCATTTCTCCCTTATCTTCAGTGGATGCCTGAAACCACTGATCTAGTACCAAGCCCTATAGTGACATTATGGTTTTTCAATCTAATAGCCTAGATATTAAGTGACCAGCAGGCCAGTAGTAAATATAGTGTGAGGACTCTGGACAAAAGGAGGACTCACATCTTAGCAGGACAGAGTAAGATGATGTGAGATTTCTTTAATCATGCTACTCAGAACTGTATACAACTTAAAACTTATCAATTCTTTATTTCTGGTATTTCCCATTTAACATTTTTGAGCAGAGGTTGACCATGGGTAACAGATACTATAGAAAATGAAACCAAGCCATGGATACGAGGCAGCTATTGTAATCTCTTTTGACAAAAGTAATCATGATGTTTGTACAGAATGTTGTCAGGCCTGTTCATATTCTCCTTCTACACCAAGCACATTTGTGATAAATCCTATATAAGATGATTTATTCAGATTTTGAAAATTACATGTAGGAAAATGAAAGAACTCAGTGAAGTATAACAGCTGGGACAGTGAACTGCCCACAGTATGAAATCTGGATACAGCACAAAAACCAAAGAGTGTTTCAATGGCTAATAAACAACAAATGTCCAAATGATTGCCTGTGTGGCCTCATGGAGCGAGTCCAGACTACAGACTCTCACCTAGAATAATGGAAATGAAAGCACAGTGGAAAGAGTAAAAGTGAAGAAGTTGGATAGACCATGGAGTCA